ACATCGAACATTTTGAAGGTAAATTAATTTTGAAAGAGTTATGGCAGTATTTTTACCAAATGGAAACAATTTCAAAACGACATTTTCGACCTTAATCATTTGACAATACTACGCCATGTTATTTTATTTGACGCAGTTGACGTGCAATGGCATGGCTTCTGTGATGCCAGCCAAACGTCATATGGTGCTGCTATGTATATGTCAGATCTGAAAATGCACATGGCATAGTGGCACTGTTAAAAACAATATAAATCCCTAGGCTTGAGTTTTGCTTGCAAAATTGATTACCAAAATGTTAAGGTCACTCAATTTAAAATATTGAATACATTTTTTTGGTCAGACTCAAATATTTGCCTTGCTTGAATTTCTGCACAACCCAGTAATTGTCTAAGTTATTTGTCTCCAATCGTGTGTCATAGGCTACTGGACGCTACAAGAAATAATATAACGACATAAATCGAGATGATATTTTGACGAGATGTCAATAATATTAAAACATCATTTAATTTCAATATTTAGGATGGATGTAGACATCCAAATGATGCTACCAGTGTGGATCTTTGGGTTAAAGAGTGTATGCATCTTGAAAATAATCCTGTACGTTTGTATAAAAACAAGGTGAAAGTATGACTGATATTCCATTGGCGAAAACCGATTTTTGTTTAATCTTTATAGATACAACTCAAATTGAGATGTATAATAATTTTGGACATAATATTATATGTGTTGATGGAACGCATGGAATGAACGCATATGACTTTGAATTAACAACTGTTCTAGTGTTTGATGAATTTGGGGAAGGATTTCCAGTTGGGTTCCTTTTTTCTAATGGAAAGGTCACATTTATCAATTATTTTTTTCATGTCTTAAAAAAGTAACTGATAACGAACGCACAACTGAAGTGTTTATGTCCGACGTGACAAATGTTTACTATAATGCTTGGAAGTCTGTTATGGGGGCCCCCAAAAAACATTTATATTGCTTTTGGCACATTGATAGAGCGTGGCAACAGAATTTGTCAAAGGTATGTGATCCTGAAAAGAGAAAATGGGTTTATAAAACTTTAAAATATCTTCAGACTAGTCTGGATGAAGATGTATTTCAAAAAGAATATCAATTGTTTCTCTCAAGCTTAAACAATGACGATTATACCAGAAGCATGCACCTGGAGAGTAAAAGAATAAAGAGGCTGGATAAGGCTATGCATGCTTTGCAAAGGTATCTTCGTGACAATAACAATAATAAAAAAACTAAAGGAAAAAAATAACAAACATTTAAATCCTATTTCAAACAGACATAGAGCTACAACTGGAACCCCGTCAATATAAAGATGCTGTCAGAAAATATATTTGAAATTTCTGCAAATTTATTATACGCAAAATAAAACCAAATGTTTGTTGTGCATTAAGTTGCAATATTTGCAATATATGTTCGATTGCACTTGCCTAGACTATGCTATTTAAAGTTCAATTTGTAAACATATACACTTTTTTGTGGGGATATTTAAAATCGAATGTCTACATTACAGAACCGTAAACCATAGATGATCTTAAACACCGGACTAGAAATGAACGCGCTCACTGTATATACAGGTGAGAGAAAGAAAAATATATACAATCTATGATCCCCCACATCTTTTGAAATACACGGCTTCCTTATTTAGGAAGCACAACATACTTGTGCAAGTAACAGAATTTGGTGCTTTAGAGGCACGTTTTGGGGACATTATCAAGGCTCATGAGATTGATATTCTGGAGCATGCACAAAATTAAACTAGCGTCTAGCCGCCAAAGTCATAAATGAACCGTACTCGGCGACCTTCGGCAACTTTCGGTCTTTTTTGAAAATCTGGGAATATTTCTAGGGATATTTTAGTTAATTTTCTGTCAAGTATCAAAATACTATTTTTAAAATAGCCATTTGAAGTTCAAATTTTGAACTGTGATAGTGCTTGTACATTGTACGTATTTGTCAATATACAATATTTTGTGTTCACGCCTAATCATTGACAAAATACAAGTGATTGGAGTTTTTAGTGGTGTTTCTAATTAGTAATTAAAACGGATAATAATGGAAAATTAAAAGAAGGCTGAGTGCACCGAGTGCAAGATTTAATTTTCTAACGTATCCAGTTTACGTAGGCATGCTCGCCGAATTCATCCAGATTTACTTGGTAAAGTGGCTCCGTTTACTTATAAAGTTTTTACAAACTATTCATTCACCTGTAGTCATTGTGCCAAAAAATTTAACCTTAAAAAACACTTTGATTTTCATATGAAAAAGTACCATTTAGAAAATCCTACTCAGCTGAAGAGACAAGTAAAGAAGTGTGCTATGTGTGATTTTACTGACATTAAAAATGAGAACTTAATTAAGCATTATAGAGTTGAACATAATGTAAACGTTGAATGTTGTGTCCTGGAAATTATTAAAAGTGACTTTGAACAGTGGAAAGTGCAGGTTGAAAAAGAAACGAGCAGTAAATTCAATAAAGAAGGACATTGGTCATCAAATACTGGTACAACTACAAAATATTTGTTCCATCGATCTGGTAAATACCTATAATTTTTTAATTTTTTCACAAAAAAAATAATTTTTTTTGTAGGCAATTATGTAGGAGAGGGAAAGGGTGATAGACATCTAAAGACCCAAGGAAGTTGTAAGATAAATGCCTATTGTCCAGCTTCTTTCAAAGTTTTAGATGAAAAAGACAAACCTTTTTTGAAAATTAATTTTATTAAAACACATGTTGGCCACAAGTGCGATATTGGACATCTTACATTGACGCTTGATGAACGAAAGTCCTTAAGTCAAAAAATTGCAACCAAGATTCCATTTGACAATATTGTTGAACAAATAAGGGACAGTGTTGTAGATAACAATCTGCACAGACTTCATTTATTAACTAAGAAAGACCTGCATAATATTTCCCAAAGTTATAATTTGGGATCAGTGGCTGTTCGACATCCAAATGATGCAATTAGTGTGGATTCATGGGTTAAGGAAATGTCCAATGATTGTGTTCTCTTTTATAAACCACAGGATACTTTATCTGAAATTCATCCCCAACTTAAAGTTTCTGATTTTGTTTTAATTATTATGAATGAAGGCCAGGTTGAGATCCTTAAAAAATATGGAGATGATTGTATTTGTGTTGATGGTACCCATGGCATCAACAACTACGATTTTGAACTTCAAACAATACTAGTGCTGGATGACATACGACAAGGCTTTCCCTGCGCCTTTTTGATTTCAAACAGGTCAGATAGGGAAGTCTTATCAATATTTTTTAATTATGTACACCAGGTTGGTTTTTTTTAATTTTCATATAAAATTAATATATTTATACATTTAATTATAGAAAGTTGGTCAATTGACTCCTACAGTTTTTATGTCAGACATGGCTGAACAATATTACACAGGATGGAGGTGATGGGTGTTGCTCAAATGAGGTAAAGACTCAAAATAATCAATGAATAATTTTAATCAATACATTGTTTTTAGATTATATTGTTCATGGCATGTCCTTAGAGCATGGCAAAAGAATATTTCCAAAATTTCTGGAAAAGATAAACAAGTAAGTAAATTAATATTCCAATTGATAACACTGAGAAATAAATCGTATGTTATAGATAGAGGTATTAAAAGAACTCAGAACAGTTCTCCAAGAGACTGATAAACAGGCCTTTGAAAAAATGCTTCCAAACTTTTTTTCCAAAATAAATGCCTGTCCTGAGACCCAGAAGTTTGCAGAATATTTTATTAATTATATGAGTAATTATCCAGCATGGGCATATTCTTACAGGGTCCAGGCTGGATTAAATACCAATATGCATTTGGAGAGACTTCATCGAACACTTAAATATGTTTATTTGCAAGGAAAAAAAGTTAAGAGGTTGGATAAGGGTATTAATGCACTGATGAAGATGGTGAAAGACAAGCTTTTTGATCGTCTGATAGTCCTTAATAAAGGAAAAATCAGCAAGAAGATTGCAGACTTAAGATCTCGCCACAAAATCAGTCTGGAGCTGTCTTCAGAATCAATAATAGCAGTGGATGGGGGCTGGAGTATTTCTTCTTCTAGCAGAACTGATATATATAGGATTGAGGAGTCTAACATAAGCTGCCAGTGTCAGTTATTATGCACGGATTGTAAATGCTGCATTCATAGGTATTGCTGTTCATGTATAGACTCAGCCATCAGATGGAATATGTGTAAACATATTCATATTCTATGCCGATGGAGAGATGAACAAGGAGACTGTACTGTAAGAAATCAGGAGATAGTTCAAGGTATAAAAAAAATTTAATTTGGGGCCCTTAGAATAAAAGGGGTATTAATGCAGTTGGCCTGTTAAGCAAAAATGCATTATCTACAATATTAAGTAATAGGTAAAGGACAAAAGATAATTTTTATTGTTTTTATTTTTTTAACAATAAAAATAATCTTTTGTCCTTTATAACTTAATATTGTAGATAAGGCATTTTTGCTTAACAGGGCTTCTGGACCTTTTATTCTAATGTCCCTAATTGCAAACAATATTGAAAAGAACAGTATGGTTTCCATACTGGTATGAGACGTTATTATTAAGGAATATTTGTTTTCATTTAGCAACAATCATTGGAACTTAAAGTAAAAAATCTGGATGAGAATTCCTCCCCCGAAAAGAAGAGTAAAGTATTTTGAATTTTTATTGAATGTTTTAAATATGAATTATTTATCATTTGGTTGGGTTTTACTTAGGTGTTGGTCATGGTGGATGTGACATAATTTTGTACATATCATTTGGTTGGGTTTTACTTAGGTGTTGGTCATGGTGAATGTGACATAATTTTGTACATAGGCTTCAAAACCTTTTTACATTTATTTTTATTGAGTAGGTTTTAGAAAATGTAATGTAGTAATATTAACATAAATAATATTTATAATTTTTTTACATGACCCCTCACAATAGATTTTAAGTTTATTTTAATTTAAATGTATTTTTATTTTCTTATAGAAACAGATGATTTAATTGTGGATTTACCACTGTTTGATGAAGAAGCTACTATCATAAATAAAGTTTCAAAGCCAGGTGGTTCAAAAGATTCCCTTCAGGAAGCAAAGGATAAATTAATATCGAAATTTAATGGTTGGATGGAAAAAATTAATTCATTTCAACAGATTGATGCAGTTAAAGATATCCAAAGATATCCAATTTCGCCGACACTGGCTGCAATTTCTCAGAACCCACAGCAGTTTTCCAGTAAGAGTACATTTCAACATAATAAACATATTGATGCACAGAAAAGATTGTATTCAACTCACAGAAAAAAGTGTTCTAAAAAGCTCAAGTTTGAAAGACCCAATGAAGCTGAATCTGTGTCAATTGCAGCATCCTTAATGTTGGAGGAGAATAGAATAGAATAGAAAAAGGTTTGTAATTTTTAGTGTCATTTTTTTTATTTTAATGCATTTTGTATATTACAGACCTTCCATTAACATCCCAATTTCGGCGTGGATTAGGCCTATAGGGGAAACCACCTTAAAAAAAACGCACCTACGGCTCTACCTCTGGGGTGGTGCGGAAAAGAGTTTTAATGTATAAAAAAGAAGACATGCTGTAACTTTTCTATTTTATCCATTAAATAAATAAAAAAATACCTTTTGTGTTATTTTTAGTGTTTTCCTTTTTATTTTTAAACATTTTCTTTATTAATAAATCAATGTAAATGCAAAGATTTACCAAAATTTCTTAAAATGTATTTTTTTTTAATAAACTATTTCATTTTATTTTTGTGTCCATAAATTATTAAGTATCCTACCTACGTTAAATTTAACTGCAAATATATAATTATCTAAAATAGGTATCCCTAAAAATATAAATAGAATAACTTTAATTCTGTTTTTTTTTATTAAAGCTATTAATAAGATCAATGCCTTGGGAAAATTTTTGAATATCTTATTAATAAGTACAGTTTAATAAAAAAACCGAATTAAAGGGGCAAGTGGACGAAGAGGTTAACATGTTTAATAAAAAAGAATAATGTGTGATTACTTTTACTATATTTTTGTCCTTAATTAATTTTAACATTTAAATACACACTGAATTTAGAAATTAATGTCTACTTTTAATGATAATTTGTTATTTCATAGTTATCTATGGTTAAAGTTAATATAACAGCTGTCGAACCAGAACATGCATTATAGATTACTAATAGTAATATTATTTAAGGGGATAATAATTTATGAACATAAATAAGCTCAAATTAATTGTATTTAGAAAAAATACATTTAAAAAAAAATTGGTAAATCTTTGAAACTGAAGCCTGTGAGTTAAAAATGTTGGTGTCTGTAGTGGAAAACCACTGTACACTCTGAGATACTGCAGTGTCATGGAAATGCCAGCTAATATTCCTTAACTGCATCAATCTGTTTAAATGAATTGATTTTTCCATCCAAACAATAAATTGTGCTATTAATATGTCATTTTCTAAATGAAGAGAATCTTTCGAACTTCTTCATCAAACAGTGGTAAATCCACAATTAATTCATCTGACTAGGTATAAGTGCAAAAATAGTTTGTATAAACTTTATAAGTAACCAAAGCCACTTCATTTAGTAAATATGAATAAAATTGACAAGCATGCCTATATAGTTACGTTAGAAAATTCCAACTCTGTTTTTTTTAAGCGTTCCATCAACGGTTTAAGCTTGTATTTTGTCAATGATTAGGCGTAAACACAAAATATTGCTATTCGAATTTTAGAAGTTCCTTAAAATTCAAAATTGATATTTGACAGAAAATTCACTAAAATCATAGAAAAAGACTAAAATATCCCTAGAAATATTCCCAGATATTAAAAAAAGACCGAAAGTTGCCGAAGGTCGCCGATTACGGTTCATTTATGACTTCAGCGGCTAGATGCTAGTCAAAATTAAGGAGCATCACCTGAACCCTAAAATGCAATATGCAATGAAGGTAAACCTAGCTGCCCAGGTGATAAGCAGAACATGCCCTGGATTAATTAAGTTTTAATTGTTACAGAAAAGCTTGATCTAAGGTCCATTGCCACTGCTACTTTTGTGCAGAAGGTGGATGAACTGTTTGACAGTTTTAATGGAAGTACACTATATACACCAGAAGGGAAACCACTGAAGTGCCACCTTACAGAAAACTCACCACATATGGATTATTGGCAAGAGGCAGAGAAAATGGTAATGTCATGGACATTTTTGAAAAGGAATAAAGAAGGAGGTTTCAAAATCAGAAAACCCCCATCACAAGTTGGGTGGCTCACAACAATTCGAGCAACAATGGGACTGTGGGCCCTCCTTCAGAGTCGCGGGTATCAAAGTTTACGGCCACGGTCTTTGAACCAGGACTCTCTGGAAAACCTATTTGGAGCAGTTCGAGGCGGATGTGGAAGCAGTGACAACCCAACCCCCAATTAATTTGCAGAGTCTGAAAACGCAGATTTTAAATGGCTTAGTAAATCAAGGTTTAGGAGGAAATTGTAAAAAAGATGACTTTGCGCTGAAATAATTAAGGCTGTTGAAGAAGGAGCCACTGAAGTGATTTCAGTGGCTTATGTAACCGGCTACATTGTAAAGAAATTTTTAGGAAAATTTACAAATTGTGAGCATTGTAGAAAAGTTTTGTTGTCAACACCAGAAGATCCTCACAATTTATTTATTTCTTTTAAGGAATGGTCTGATCATTCCAATAAGCTAATGTATCCTTCTGAACAAGTAGTAATTACATTGGGCTTGCATATTACCAAACTGAAGGATATATTAGACCTATATGCAATTCATTGGTGCAATTGTTAAGAAAAAAATTAGATCGGAAGTTTCCTTCGCTTGGAACAGTTGTACCATTAATCAAACAGTAATTTAAATGAATTTGTGCCTGGTGTGAAAAAATAGTTACCTTGGTGGTGCAAAATAAAAACAAGGATAGGCGAAATACAAAAAAATACACCAAAAATAAAAAATGCAAAAATTTAAACACCAATAAAACTTCATTGTGAATTTTTAAGGTAAAGATTTTTTTATAAAAAGTTTTGTTTTGTTAAAATATTTTTTTACAAGTCCATTCGGTTATATAAAAAAAATATAAATATATATATAAATGCCATTTTTTACAAAATTTAAAGTCTCGACACATTTTTTAATTCTAAATAACTTTTGTAAGAGATTTCTACATTTTAAAATTTAAACTATATGTAGTATACTATGTATAAAATTCCCACAAAAGGTTGGTTAGAATTTAAAAAATGATAAGACTTTTGTAATTGTAATTTTGTAAAAAATGGCGTTATGAAAAAACTAATTAGTCCTGAATTATTTTTTAATTTTCTTAACGCTCTGTACAAATCTTCAAATTTTAGAGTCTCCCATTTGTCTCAGAAACAAAAAATGGTGTACACAGCAAAAACTGTTGACATTGTTGTGTTTTATAAAGCAAAACAATACTAGAGCAGTGCCTATTTCGCGTTGAATCGTGTAGTTTTGTGGTGTTAAAATGAATATACAAGGACTAAATAAAGAAAATATTAGCAGTGATTCAGATACAGAAAAATTGAATATGGGATCTAAGAAAAGAAAATCTTTTGGACGAGAAGTAGACGTTATGAAAAAACTGAGATTAATTTCCCACGAGCAGGGCGAAGACTGAACGTAAACAAAGGACAATGAAATATCTTCTAAAGATAAACTAAGTTCGTATTTACCCGGATTAATAAACGTTTTATCAATTAAACAACGTCGCCCAAGACAAAATGAAGAATTAACCAAATTTCATGATAGGGCATATTCTTATAAAGTAAGAACTATGAAGGTGGTTACAAACGATTCAGCAGTGGCAAGTCGCCAAAAGATATGAGGAGAAAGTACTCACACACCCATTGCACCAAACCTCCTGCTACGTTGGTTGCTGTAAAAAATCACATAGGTTCTTTTAAAGGCAGACAAAGTCATTATAGCCGTAAAAAGTCTACTGTGGTTTATCTACCGGAGAGCCTTAATCTAAAGAAGATGTACAAGATGTACACAGATTTAGATCTTGGATCTGTGTCGTACGAATATTAGAGTAGAGTGGGGCAATAGTCTGCCTAGGGCAAAAGTCGCAAAAGCCGTTTTTGCAGAGCTCAATTCAAAATCTGGCAACCCAGTCATACCATAACCTTCGACAACAGTGTTGACGACCGGTAGTGTTTTTAAAGAAATTTCTGTGAAGTGGTTTAATTACAATGAGGTATTTATTATTTTTTTATATTTGCTTGTAATTTTCATAAGAAAGTACATAGGATATTGCAGAATAACTTGTAGTTGTATTTTGAAAATAAAATTTCTACATAACCTACAACAAATGAGGATAGCATAAACACATGAAAATCGCATGTATCGTTTGACAGTAGAAAAGGCGGTAAATTTAAAATTTGGCCCACGCTATAGGGCAAAAGTCCGATTTAGGTATGGGGCAATAGTACGGGCGTACTTTTGCCCCATACGTTTCAAAATGTTTGCCCCTAGTATTTATTGTTTGGTTTAACTAAAATTTCATGTTTTGCAGGAACTATAAAAAAAAGTCTACGAGAAAATTGTGCACAGAGGAAATGCTGCAAACGGCTCGAGCTCAGATAGCTGATGGTTCTTCAATTCGAGCAGTTGCTACTAATTTGAGCATTCATGAATCTACTTTGCGTAAAAGGTTGAAGTCTGGACGTGGTGCAGTTTCCTTTGGATACGTCAGTATTTACAAACGAAATAAAGCAGATGCTGATTCAGCACTGTAAAGAATTGGACAATAGGTTTTATGGTCTGACGTTTAAAACTTTAAGGAGCATTGGATACGAGTTCGCCGTATTGAATAATATTAAACATCCATCTAATCGGAATACAGGTTCGCTGTTAGGGACTGGGCATACCACTTCATAAAAAAACACAAGCTCTCCTTAAGAACACCAAATTCAACTAGTTTAGCCAGAGTATTGGGCTTTAACAAAACTCAGATCGACGCTTTTTTTTCTAATCTAACAAGTCTTTGTAAAAAATATGAGTTTCCTCCTGGTTCTATATACAATATGGACGAAAGTGGGATCTCTACTATTCCAAACAAGGTACCAAAGGTTGTCAGTACTAAAGGAAAAAAAATGGTGGCAAAGATATCATCTGCTGAGCGCGGAGAAACAATGACTATTGTATGTGCCATGAGTGCGGCAGGAAATTTTGTTCCACCTGCTTTGATATTCCCACGTAAGCGAATGAAGGCTGAACTTATGGATGGAGCCCCACCCCAGTCTGTAGAAATGATTTCAGATTCCGGATATATGAACACCTCCTTGTTTTTAGACTGGTTGAAACATTTCCAAGCCCATGTAAAAGCTGATGCTGAGCACCCTGTGTTGTTGATATTAGACAACCATTCCTCCCACAGATCACTGGAGGCTATTTTATTCTGTAGGGAAAATAATATACATTTACTCACAATCCCTCCGCATAGCAGTCATCGAATACAACCACTTGATCGATGTTACTTCAAAGCATTGAAAACGTTTTACGCAACTGAATGTGATCGTTGGTTAACCAACAATCCCGGAAGAAATATAACCCACTTCCAAATTGCTAAAATTTTGGGGCGAATTTATAAACGTTGTTCTACCATGGATAGGGGTATCAAAGGTTTCGAATCCTGCGGAATTTATCCGATAACTGAGAATGTGTTCACTGATGAAGATTTTCTTCCTTCCAGTGTTACCTAGAGAAATGTCCAGAATCCGCAAATAAACAATAGCGAATCGGAGTCAGATCCTGAAATATCTGCACCGCTATCCGTGTTACACAACAATTTGGAAAAAAAATCAACCCCTCAAAAGCAGTTAATAAGGAATAGTCCAGTTGCAAGTACCTCAAGAGTAGCCGTAGGAAGTTCAATGGATGAGCTTAATTTCTCACCTTCTGCGTCTACAGTCAGCCAAAAAAACAATCTAGTTTCTCCGAAAGAAATTATTCCACTACCTAGAAGATCTGAAGATCAGAAAAGGAGAAAACGGGGCCAAAAATCTGAGATCCTATCCAGCACTCCGTTTAAAGAAAAACTTGAGGCAGAACGTGCAGAAAAGCTTCGAAAAGAAAATGTACAAGCCAATAAACCTACAAAGAGAAACATTTCCAACAAAAAGAATAAAAACCATGACAAAACTCTAAAACCATCTCCTTCTACATCTCATTCCTGTCCTGGGTGCTCCGAAAAATATAGCGATCCACCCACTGAAGACTGGATTCAGTGCCAACAGTGTCAAGAGTGGTGGCACGAAAATTGCACTGCATATGAAAACATTGGATCATTTATTTTTGACATTTGTGAGTGAAAATACGTACACAGGATTATTGCCCCACATATTCGCGACTTTTGCCCCAGTGGTGGGGCAAAATTCCCATTTTGCATTTTTTGTTATTTTTAAAGTTTTCTATTGTGTTGTTTTTTTTTAATCAAATATTTATATTTTCATACATAAATGATTGTATTAACTTACTAAAGAGTAAAGGATTTTTTAAGTTCATATTTGTTGTCTTTATAATACGATACGATACGATATTTAATAACAATTTTAATATTAAATTCGGTTACCCTTGAAGCGACACATGCAGTGTGACAAATTTAAAGCAGAGAAATTGAGCTTAGAGAGAAAACTTGAAAATACACTAATGGCAGAAGGAAAAACAGATCTAATGCAACAATTAAAAAAATTAGAGATTCAGAATGAGTTGCACCTAAAGAAGGCTGATGTTTTTTATGCAAGAAAGAGAGCAGCAAAAAAAAAGAAGACTACGAAAGCATTTCTATGGATTTCCAAAAGAATTTACCACTACCGAATATTTCCACTAATGATGTATATTATAAACGTCAGCTTTATTTTTAGTCATTTAATATCCATGTTCTTTCTACAGCCATGTTGTAACTACTCGAAGACTTGACATGATAAAAATTGCCTTTCCAATAAGGGGACGTTCTTATTTAGAATGCGATAAGAATATGGGCCTTATCAACCACTACTAAAGATGAGACTATTGCTGACTGGATTAATGAAATAAAAGGAGCAAGAGCTAAGCCAGCTCCATTTAAAGTTTTTGATCTCGAACAAAGCTTTTTTCGTCAATAGCCCCATGTTATGTAGTAAATTGCCCATTTGCAATACAGCAACTTCGGGAAATCCAAGCAGAATACGTACATCCCAAATATATGACATATCGTTCAAGCTATAATGGGGCCTTCGAGACTGCAATAGTTCGTACTGCTTCCATCAACCATAGATAAAAAGTATACAGGTAATGATTAACTAAACTGTCTTAAGACTCTTTGAATCAATGTTTCTCTTTTTTAGAACCCATAAAAATCAGTTTGGAAAAATGGGAAAACAGCAACTAAAAACGTTTTGTGAAACTGATGGTGCTTCAATATTTTATGGCAATCTACCCCACAAATTAATCAGAAAAGCGAATAAAAAGACAAAAGATGTGTTGCATACACTTAAACAGAGTGTTTCATTGGGAAGTGCAGGTAGGGACCACCGAGAGGGTTCTAAAAAACCCACATTTGATGGGCCTATCGCCCTTTATTTCAGAAATACAGGGTGACTCATCAATTTTGCTCATTTCTTTAATTGCTCATAATTTTTAAACGGCTTCTTTTTTTTTCTCAAAATTGATATACGGATTAAGGGTGTCCTACCTAATAAGTAGGTTAGGGTGTCCCAAAAAAAAAAGAATATATTTTTTTTTCTTGTCTCTTGTAAAAATCTGTTAGTTTATCATGCTGTGAGAGCCCTTTCAAAATATCAGCTCGATTAAAAATTTTGTAGGGGTCGCTCAAGATTTTTAAAAATTTTCAAAATGGTCAAAAATTGAATTTTTGTTTTATTTTAATTCTTTTTCTCGCCTCGATATTATTTTTTAGGTTGAAAATAATAAAAATTCTGCTAATTTCAAATCAATATTTTAATTTCTAAAGGTCGCTAAAAGTTCGTTGATATTTAAATTCAGAGGTCGCTCGAAAACATTCAAAATACTCTACTTTGAAAGTTAAAAAAATCTTGAGCGACCTTTAGAAATTAAAATATCGATTTGAAATTTTCAGAATCATTATTATTTTTAAATTAAAAAATAATATCGGAAAGAGAAAAAAAAATTAAAATAAAAAAAAATCCAATTTTTGACGATTTTCGTAATTTTTAAAAATCTTGAGCGACCCCTAAAAATTTTTTAATGGTGCTGATCTTTTGACAGGGCTCTTAAAACATGACAAACCAACATATTTTCACAAGAGACGAGAAGAAAAAAAATATTCTTTTTTTTTGGGACACCCTAAAGTAGGTATACCAAGTTGCAAAAAATTCCAGGTCCGGCTTTGCCAAAATTTTCCAAATTCTGTGTACCCTCAAAAATTACCCTGTACATTAGAATTTTGAATTTTTTTTCTTCCTTATAAATAAATATTAAATTAGCTACAAAAAAATGTACAACCCATCTTTCGACAGAAAAGTTTATCAACAAAATTTTACGTGTGAAAGAACAAGTTTGAACAAAAAAAGAGTGCGAGGTGTAGAGATGATCTGTTTCTACTGCAGAATGAAAATTTCTTACTTTTAATTTATCTAGGTTCTTATCTAATTAAATTCTTACTTTTCTATTTTACAGAAAATACGAATCCAAAAGTACAGGGCCGTACTTTTCAAGTAAAAAATAAATAAATTTTCAAACATAGACCCATCAAATGTGGGTTTTTTAGAACCCTCTTGGTGATTCCTACCTGCACTTAAAATATGTCCGTTTCCCAATGAAACACCCAGTAGAGACCGACTCTGAGAAAGATGAAGAAGAAGAGCAAGAACAAAGGAATGTTATAAATAGGTACTCAAAAACGAAAAAAACTGCAGTAATCAAAAAGAAAGAAACTGTTAGCAAACGTAAAGAGGAAATAATCAAAAAGATAAAAACTGGTAACAAGTTTGTTATGACAATCAACAATTTAGCGTTGTATTTTTTGTATTTTCGAATTGTTTTTTTATTTCAGTTAAAAACTGAAAGACTTATAAACATGACGTTTTTGACATAATATTATCCAATAAATATTCCACAAAATGGCTACTAACTTATTTTCCTTAATTTATAGAGAATGAACTTTTAATGATCTTTATCGTTTTTGCTTTGTGCTCTTCAATTATTTCAAAACCGTGAGATGGATTCTCATTTAAATGAGCATGCGCATGCGCATTGCAGGATGCGGAAACTTTTGTTTTGGCGCCAAAGTTTTCACTTAACCAATGATTTGATCATATCGCATCGTTCTTTGGTGTCGTTTCTGTTATAAACTTTTTTATTTCTGGTTTTTAATTGGACTTTATTTAAAACGATATTATTAGTGAATGTGAATAGCAAATGGAATAAGAAAATTTGTGTGTTCTTCAATTTAAGAAATTTTATGAAATTATTTTTATATGGCCAAAAAAAAATATTAGTGTTTTTTTTAATCTCCAGAACAATGGTTTTTCTAATCTTTCATAATTTGAGATCTCTTTAAAATGCATACCATAATTTTGTTAGATATAATAATATTGTTTTTGATTTATTTTCCTTTTTTATAGAAAATAACTTGGTTATTGATATTAATAAAAGCCTAAAACATAAAGAAATTTCTGAAATAGCGAAGACAATTAGTACCACCCGGCAAGTTCAGAAAGTTGAAGAGAGGAGAAATAAACTTCTTAGATTTGTTCAAGACGAACTGCTTCACGCGACTTCTCTTGAAGAAATAAAAGCTGCAGAACAAGTTTTTGCCCCTCTAAAACCCACCCTTGCTGCTGTTAGAACTAAGCAGACTAATTTCCGCCCTCTTCTTCCAATATGCCACACAAAAAAAATATTAATCCCCAAATGCGTCAATTTTTACCCAAAGGAAAAAGAAAAAATAAGAAAAACCTCAAAAAGCCTTCAGCTGAGGAGGCAGACCTTTTAGCTGAACAGCTTTTAAATGCATGATGGTAAAAAAATATGCATATATATATATATATATATATATATATATATATACAGGGTGTCCCGGAAAATGTGGGAAATCTCTCGGATTCAGATAGAACATTAAAAAATAAGATGACAAGTTCCCATAAATTTTTTTCCTAGCGGCCCTCCCTACGGAGATACGGCCTCCTAAAGGACGCCACTGGAAATCAGTTTTTCTTGAATAACTTTTAAACTACTTAATATAATTTAATGAAAATTTAATATGATAAACAGTAGTAAGGACCTCTTAAAATACTGCCCTTAAAACATAATTAGCTTGTTTAGTTTACCAGGGGCGGACTAGGTTGTATATTTTAATGCTTACATTTTTAACACCCTGTATGATAGGGAGTTAAAAAAATAAATTTGGATACCTTGAACATTAAGCTAAAGAAAAGGTACTCTTGTTTATTGTCGATAAAATTAACCGTTTTCGAGAAAAATAATAAAGAATTAATGTTTTATTTTTATTAAAAAGACCATGGTTTCTATTTTTTTTTCTACAAGCGGAAAAGTGCAACTTTCCGCACGATTATGCGTGTGGAAACAAAAAAAAATAAAACTTAAAATGGAAACCGATAAAGAAAATTTCGAGATTCTCTGCTTGTAGACACTTTCCGCACGCTTGTAGAAAAAATGTTGTACCTAACACTGTCTGCAACAAAGTGTGATTCGAAAGTAATTGAAATAAAACTGTCATTAGCATTAAAAAACGCACTGTTTTTACAAACGTTACTATGGTACCTACGAAATAATAAATATCTTGCATTGACGTGTGTATTTTAAATCTTGTCATCTTTCATATTGTTAGCACGTTGATCCTTTACTTCGATATTAATTTATTATGAATATCTTGGTAAATTTAATTAAATAATGGGATACACCTTTAGTGAGTATGCAAATATGCATCTTATGTACGGGCTTGCATCTTGCAATGCTTTGGAAGCAAGAAGGTTGTATGAAGAAAGATATCCTGATGGCAATATTCCAAATCAGAAAACATTTCAGCGACTTGATCAACGTCTAAGAGAGACTGGTGGGCGATTCTCAGTTAATAAGGCAACATTATTGACTTTCTTTAATAATTTTTAGGAAGTTTTGGGAAAACAAGTACTGATGCTGGTGTGAGAAGAACAGTACGTACGGTGCAATTGGAGGAAAATATTTTGGATAGTGTAGCTGATACTCCTTCAATAAGCACTCGAAGATTAGCCTCGCAGCTTCATACGTCAAAAACGATAATTCATAAAGTACTTAAAAAACAGTTGTTACAACCTTATCATTTGCAAAAAGTGCATCAACTACTTCCTCAAGATTTTCCTCGTAGAATCCAGTTCGCAAACTGGATGTTAGATCAGCAACGGACAAATCCAAACTTCATTAGCTCTATTCTTTTTACCGATGAAGCAGGGTTTACCAAAAATGGTATTGTAAATTTACATAACTCGCATGTATGGGCTGATGAAAACCCTCATGCCACTGTTGTTCATCATTATCAATATCAGTTCCAATCAATTGATGTTTGGGCAGGAATAATTGGCAATTTTTTTATTGGACCATGCGTATTGCCGCCACGATTGAATGGTGAAATTTATTTACAGTTCCTTCAGAATGCTTTTCTGGATTCAATAGAGCATTTGCCAATTGAAACCCGCCAGCGCATGTATTTTATGCATGATGGAGCCCCACCTCATTTTAGCGTTGCTGTACGGGACTATCTGAATAACGTCTATCCAAACCGTTGGATAGGCAGAGGAGGTCCCATTGCCTGGCCTCCACGCTCTCCCGACTTAACGCCAATGGATTTTCACCTGTGGGGACATCTCAAAACCTTGGTGTATTCCTCTCCGGTTGATACTAGGGAGGAACTTTTACAGAGAATCACATTTCATTGTGATGCGATAAGGAACAATGCTGGGTTGTTGTGGCGAGTACAGCAGTCCTCTATTCGTCGTGCCCGCGAGTGTATCAGAGTTCACGGAGCCCATATTGAACCCTCTTATGAAGTTTTTAATTGATTATTTCTAATTTAATTTTTCTGTACATTATTTTTTAAGGTTGTTTTTTAAATAATTTCAAGAAAAACATATTTCTAAAAATAATTTTTGTTAAGGTGCCTTTCTGGGACAAGACTGAATTTTTAAGAATCTTGTAATTTTGTCGGATTAAATAACCTAAACTAAAACTTTTCTGTTTCTTGAATGACTTTCGTATCACACTTTGTTGCAGACAAAAAATTAGAAATCATGGTTCTTTTTAATAAAAATAAAACATTAATTCTTTATTATTTTTTTTCTCGAAAACGGTTCATTTTATGGACAATAAACAAGAGTACCTTTTCTTTAGCTTAATGTTTAAGGTATCCAAATTTATTTTTTTTAACTCCCTATCATACAGGGTGTTAAAAATGTAAGCATTAAAATGTACAACCTAGTCCGCCCCTGGTAAACTAAACAAGCTAATTATGTTTTAAGGACAGTATTTTAAGAGGTCCTTACTACTGTTTATCCTATTAAATTTTCATTAAATTATATTAAGTAGTTTAAAAGTTATTCAAGAAAATCTGATTTCCAGTGGCGTCCTTTAGGAGGCCGTATCTCCGTAGGGAGGGCCGCTAGGAAAAAAATTTATGGGAACTTGTCACCTTATTTTTTAATGTTCTATCTGAATCCGAGATATTTCCCACATTTTCCGGGACACCCTGTATATATTGGGAATAGTGGTTAACAATTAACAAAAAAATCGGACCAGGGTTGCCAACTCTACCAACTTTTCGGTAGATCTACCCACTTTTAGTGTCTTGCTTAAATCTACTACCTTGCAAGCAAAATCTACTAACTTTTTAAATTTCCGTGAAAGTGGTAATAATGCGTTGTGTTTTTTGAAACTCTTCCATCTTTAAACATTTACCTAATTTTATAGAGTATATAGCGCGTTATTGTTACGCCCTCTATTATCTATTAAATTAGGTAAATCCATCGCCGATACAGGTTACTGTACAAGCTGTCAAAATAAATTCTATTTAGAATACCCATTGGATATACTCGATTTTAGTAGGACTATATTTTTAGCAAAAAATTTTATTTTAACATTTCTAATATTAGTGAAAGTATCAGTGAAAATGAAGAAACTACTCCGCCTCGAAAAGTTAAGAAAAGGCACTATGATCAAAATTATTCCAAGCTGTGGGAAAAGGAAAAAGAATATGCAGGTTGGATTGAAGCTATAGTAATAAGGGGAATAGGTATTTTCACTGCAAAGCATGTGGGTGTGATTTAAAGTGTGGTGGAGGAAAATATATGCTTAGTAAGCATGTTAAAAGTTCCAAACATATAAGTAATGTTAAAGGTTAATATATCAGGTCAACATAAAATACCCTCTTTGCTTCTTTTGATTCACACTGTCACATGTTATAATATTATTATATTTTCTAGGTTCAGTACACCAACCATCTATTACCTCTCTATTTAGTCAGTCGACAGCAAAGTCGTTTGAGGAAAAAGTTAAGGCAGGAGAAATAAAAATGGCATGATTCTTAGCAAAAAATAACCTGCCATTCAAAATCGCTGGTATCATATATTTATTGTTTTTTTAAATTTATATTTATTTCAGTATATGTTATTATAATTATAGTAATAATAATAATAATTTATTAATCCAATTGACAATAACATTCATATGTATAGGACAAGTCACAGAAATACAATACACTATTATTACTAATAATTAATAATAATAAATAAAAATAATAATAATTATTAATTCATAATAATAATAATAAAAATAAAAAGTCAAATATATCAATAATAAATTTTATTTTTATTGTTAGAGGAAAGTCGCCTTATTTCGGATAGTCGCCTAATTTCGGATAGTGGTGTATCTGAGAAACTAACTGAAGGAATAAATGGAAATTGACCCTAGTGCCATCTATGTAGTCGAAGAAAGTATATCACGAATTATTTACTTGCTACTATTACTCTCCGTTAGATGGCAGTGGCAAACATCTGAACCACGTTTCGTAGTTTTTTAGTAATCACTGTTTAAGCCGTGTTTTTCTTGGAAATATTCATTTTAAAAATTTCTGTATTTTTCAGAGACAAGGTAAGTGTTTATTAAAGCCCTTTTTTAGTCAAAACTACAAAATATTTAAAGGTTTTTATTTAAAAAGACCTTAACCTAAAACGTATAAAGTTGCCTAATTTCGGATAGTTCTAGTTTCTCAATTTCGGATATCCGAAATTAGGAAACCAAAATTACAAACCAAAGAAATTCCAACATTTAGCGAATATAATGTTTATTTTCAGAATAAAATGCCAAATAACAGCAAAAAACATAAGCAGTGGGATCCTGATCAAATGAAAAGTGCAATACAAGCCGTCAGAGCCAAAGAAATGGGATATCTAAAAGCCTCGAAATTTTTTGGTGTTCCAAAGTCAACATTAGAAGATTATGTCAAGCAAGTTGACAAAACTCCAGAGCAGTTGGTTGCTATGCGGATCGGAAGAAAGCCAGCACTTTCCATTGAAATGGAGGAAGATTTAGTGTCTTATTGTTTAGAAATGGATCGAAGATATTATTGGATAGGCATTGCTGATATTAGGAAACTTGCTTACCAAATAGCATTAAAAAATGGTCTTCGTCATCCTTTTTCCAAGCAGAACGAAGTTGCCGGAAAAAAATGGCTGAAAGGGTTTTTTAAGCGTTATTCGGCTCTGTCCCTTAGAAAACCACAAGGGATCTCAAAATCCAGAATAAAAGGTTTCACTCCAGAAAATGTTAATAGATTCTTTGACCTTCTTGAACCAGCAATGGAGACGATCAATTATAATCCTGCTAGAGTATATAACGTTGAGGAAACAGGAATAACAACAGTACAGTCCAAAAATTCGAGAGTAATAACTTTGAAGGGCAAGAAGCAGGTTGGAGCAGTTACTGCTGCGGAAAGAGGAGCATTAGTGACAGTCGTTATGTGCATGAATGCCAGTGGTGGATTTGTCCCACCATTATTTATCTTTCCCAGGAAGAACATGAAAGCCGAGTTGCTGGATGGAGCCCCCCCGGTTCGATTGCAGCTTGCCATCCGTCTGGGTGGATTCAGCAGCACATATTTTCCCAATGGTTGCAACACTTTATTTCTCATGTAAAACCGTCTCGTAAAGATCCAGTTCTGCTTATTCTTGATGGTCACTACAGCCATACGAGAAATATGGATGTAATAGATGCCGGACGCAAAAACCACGTTACAATTGTGTGTATTCCACCCCACACTTCGCACAAGATGCAACCTCTAGATTTATCATTCATGTCCCCTTTTAAGACATATTATTCTCAACAAGTTCAAATGTGACTGAAACAAAACCATGGACGCAACGTAAACGCTTTTCAAATTTGTAAGCTAATGTGTCCTGCATATTTAAAAAGTGCAACTGCAGAGGTATCAACGGTTTCCGCAAATCTGGGATTTATCCCTTTAATAGAAACAACTTTTCTGAGCATGAGTTTATAACAGAAAGACAAAGAGAAAGGACCCCACCAGTAGAAACAATTGAAAGGCAAAGAGAAAGAACACCATCAGCAGAAACAGTTCAAAGCAAGTTATCGAAAAATCCAATAAAAAATATCATAAGAGCAGAGGAGATTAGTCCTTTACCTTCATGTAGTGGAATCTTACAAGCAAATGGAGGAAGAAAATCTCGACAAGGCTCTAGTTGGGTAATTACCAGTTCGCCATATAAAAAACAGCTTGAAGAAAGTTTACAGGAACAGACGCGAAAGAAAGAAATAAAAGAAAATAGGAAAAATGTAAAACTAAGCTCAAAATTAACAGAATGCCATAAAAAGAAGACTGCATCAGTATTACCAAAAGGCAATAAAAACAAGTCTGTAACACGAAACAAGAAAGAAATAAAAGTTCAGTGCGGTAGTGATGAGTCATCAGATTCTGAAACTAGTCTTATTCTAGACGACGACTCCGATATGGATCCGAATGATGAAGAGGACGCAGAATGCATATTTTGTATGGGTTTGTATTCTGAGGATGGACAAGGGGAGGAATGGATAACATGTAATATAAGTTTTAAGTGGTGTCATAAACCATGCGCTAATACCGATAAAAAAGACATATATATGTGACTCTTGCTTGGAATAAAACTGGTGTCTTAATTTCGGATAGGGTGTCCGAAATTGGGAGCCCATTTTAAATTTCGAAAAAATTGCACCAAATGCAAAAAGCTCTTTTTTTGTTAAAACTTAAACATGTTTTAATATTAAACTTTGTTTCTTTATAGTGCATTGCAATGCATTGAGTACTTGCCAGAAGATGAAGCATACAAAAAGTATTTTTTTCTATTTTTTTTTTTAATTTATCCGAAATTAGGCACCTTTCCTCTATTTATTATGATAAATTTTTGATGATCAGTGGACATATTATGATCTTTCAGATGACCTAAAGAATCTTGTGCAGTCAGTATGTCCAGATTCAGAACTAGCAAAACAATTCACTTTCGGAAAAACAAAAGCACATGCTATCATTACAAATGTAACCCGAAAAGTTTCTTATGAAAAATTATTAGATCTATTGCAAAAAAAAATTCTCATTGATAGCTGATGAGAGTACAGATCGGTCTACCACTAAACACATGGCTCTTGTTGTAAGAACTGCAGTGGATTTCAAAGTTGAAGACAACTTTTTGTGTCTGTTACCTGTAACAGATTGTTTTGCCGTTGTATTGCATCAAGTTTGCAAAGATTTTTTCGAAAAAGAGAATATTCCTAACAAAGAAAATATGATCGGATATGCGTGCGATGGAGCAAATAATAGGTCTGGGCTACATCTTTCTTTAGCTAGTCTGTTTGCAAAAGACATACCAAATTTATTTTTAATAAAATGTATTTGCCATTCCTTCCACTTGTGTGCTTCTTATGCTTGTAAAGTACGGCCACGAGGAGTAAAAGATTTTGCAAGAGATGTTTACATCTATTTAAAGAATAGCCCTAAACGACTGGGTGACTATAAAGACTTTCAAACACATTTGGATATTAAGCCCAATAAAATCCTACATCCATCACAGACAATATGGCTTTCTTTGCTTCCAGTTGTGGAAAGGCTCATAGAGCAACTACCTACGCTGAAACTACATTTTCAAAATGCTGTTTTGCCGCAAACTCGATTTTAGAAAAATGTATGGCTCCCTCAACAATATTGTATTTAGAGTTTTTGGGTTTTGTCTTGCCTTATTTTCATGATCTTAACAAAGAAATGCAATCCGAGGCCAAAACTGTTTATTTTATATGAAAAAGTTTTTTTAACTTACAAAACAATTTTAGAATGTTTCATAGAGAAAGAGCCATAAATAAAGATCATTCTGCAAGTGGAAAATAAAATCTTAAATTTGGATTATGAGTTAAAAGAAAATCATCTATTGATTGACGAAGTATACCTGGGAGGTAATGTTTTAGCGCTGCTGTTGAAATAGGATTTTGTTCGCAGTATGGGGGAAGATGAAGTCGAACAGTTCAGAGAAAAATGCATTCTTTTTTATATTACCAGTGTTGGGCAAATAAGAGAACGCTTCCCGTTTTAAGATTTACAAAGACAACGATTAAAAAATTTTGCTTTCCTTATTCCTTTACTTTTAATTGAGCGAAAATCTGTAAAATCTATTGCCCATTTCAAAACATTGTTTCCAGGTAAATATTATTATTGTAAAAATTAATCAAAAATTAACAGCTCTTATAATTTTCTTTTCAGATTTATGTCCTTAAATTAGAATTAGATCGAGAATGGAGACTGTTAAGAAACACAACTCTTCCTTTTACAACTGAGGAAAATATTACGGTTAAAGACTTCTGGCATCATATTTCTCAAATAAAAAAAGGCGATAATTCACAAATGTTTTCTCTCCTGAGCCAGTTTGTGAAGAAATTGCTAATGCTTCCGCACAGTAGTGCTAATGTTGAGGGACTGTTTTCCGCGGTTCATTTAAAACTTGTAGCCGAAACAAACTGTCCACTAATACTTTAGAGGGACTCTTACATACCAAACGCTTTATCAACAAAGTGCTGAGCAACCTACTGAAGAACATTACAAATTATTTAATAAAAATATGTATTCTTTTAAAGAATAGAATAGAATAATAAAAAATATACTTTTTTTCTTATTTTTACCCTTTTTTCCATTTTCGAAATTATGTGCTTGTACTCGTTTGCATCAAATCCCTTTAATTATAAATAGGCACTTTGGTTGTATACTATTAAATTAATTAATTTAAGTATACAACCCAACTATAATTTGATAATTATCATAATTCGTTCTTCAATTAATGACTTTTTTCTATTCTTATTTTAAATATTGGCGATTTGTAATTCTGCTTTATCATTGTTTTTTTTTTATGAAAATACTTTAAGTATTTTTTGTTCATTTCTTACTTAAGAGTCTCTAGAATACTCGAAAAATATAGGTGGTAGATCTACCAACTTTTCAAAGTAAGATTTTTCGGAAACTACCAACTTTTAAAGTCAAATCTACCCCCTAGACAGATTTTGGGTTGGCAACGCTGCTCCAGCCTTCGCCGAAGTAGTACGTGACCGAGCGGAGTATAAAATAGCGACTATTTTTTTTTGTTATCTAGAGATTCCGTCCAAGTAAAAGATCCTAAAAACGCAAGATGAAATGGAGGCAATGATGCTCAAAATATAGGAGTCACCTAATGACGAAGAAATTGTTGGGGGCTCTGATGAAGACGATTCTGACGAAGAAATTCAAAGAAGTGACCACGACTCTTGTTCAGAATTAGAAGCTGATAAGAATGAGTTACAGCAACGCGATGATATTGATTCAGAAGACTCAGAAGAAGAAATAGATCGTAACGTTATCTTCAAATGTAAGGACAAAAGCCTAAATTGGAGTGAGACACCTCTAAGAAGTAATTTCGCCAAGACATATGCAAAGAATATCGTAAAAATATTTCCTCGACCATTACTAAAGCGTGATGACGTTACAGATGAATAAAGTGTCTTCTTCCAATTCATAACATGTGAGCAAATCGAAAAAACAGTAAAATATACAAACAAATTTATAATATCTGTTCAGGATGACTTCAAAAGAGAAAGAGATGCAAAAGAAACTTGCAAAGAAATATTAGCTCTCTTTGGGGAATTATGGGTTACTGATGGTACTGGGTGGGTAATTTTTCAGGCCTGGGTTATAAAAGATTTCTGTTTCTTCTGAGAGCTTTGAGATTTGATAATAAAAATGACAGGGCACAAAGAAGATCTCTTGACAAGCAAGGGAAGTTTATGATGATTTTGTGGAGAAATGCAATAAAACTATCGTCCCTGTGATAGATTGACAATTAATGAAAGGCTTATTCCATTTTGTGGCCATTGCAGTTTCATGCAGTATATACCAAATAAACCAGTCAAATATGGTGTAAAGGTTTTTGCACTTTGTGACTCCAAGATGTTCTACGTTTCCAATTACGAAATATATTGTGGAAAGCAACCGGAAGGATTATATCAAGTTTCAAATTCCCCCACGTGCTCAGATTGGTTGAACCATTTAAAAATAAAAATAGGAATCTAACCACAGACAACTGGTACACCAGTTACCCATTGGCCCAAACATTGCTTGAAAATAAAATTACAGTAGTGGGGACTTTGAAGAAAAACAAAAGAGAAATTCCATTGCATTGCATTTCTAAGAATTCATTGTTGAACAAATTTGGGTTTCTAAAATTTGAGTTTGCGAAGGTACCTAATATCAACTATGCCTCAAGAAAAGTGAATTCTTTAGCATTGTTTATTCAAATGTTATGAATTTCCAACAAATACACAAACATATTAGTGTACTAGGATAAACCTAATATTAGAAAACATTTTTAAGCATTGTAAGCATTATAAGCTTTGTGCAATGCATTATAAGTGTTGTTATGAGTTAAGCGTCCCTCAAAACATTTTTATTATGCTTATACTAGTTTTTGTCACAATCCAAGTCAGTTCGGAATACGAATCTAGGATTCTACATTTACACGTATCGGGTCACTTATTAAATATATTTTTGGTTATTTCAATGAAGGTGGCGGCGACAAACAGGGATTATTATAAATTAGCACTGACAAAAATAAAAGTGAAGTATTATTTTTGTACTGTCACAAATTTTTTTAAATGAAATATACAGTTTGAATTAATAATAATAATATTACTAATATTGACAATTATACTTTTGTATGTCAATAACAGTAATATTATTATTAACTAACTTATTATTATTATTATATAATACTAACGTACAGGCGTTTTTATTAAACCGATATCCCAAAAATTGGGTTACATATACAAAATTAAAAATAAACCAAAAAAGAGAAAATATGGGTTGATAGGGATTGGCAAAAAAACGGATAAAATAGTATTTTAAATATAAACACACTTGGAAAATTTTAGTACATTATGGTCAACCTAAAATATTGGAAAAATTAGTTGATTTTATTTTTATTATTTAAAAATTATTAAAAATAAGTTGTTGGAGATGTGTCTTTAAAGTGAACAGTTCTGGATTAAGTTGGGAGCTTTGGGGGCTATAGCCTTAGGCCCCGCCATTCAAAGGGGCCCCCGATACCTTAGTATTCAAAAGTCATATTAATAATAAACATTATACATGGATTTTAGGTCTACATAAAATTATAAAAAAAAAAACAGTAAAATATTTTTTATCAAAAACATCCAGAAATATAATTTATAAGGCTGAAGGACCCCGGTCGATGGCCTTTTGTATATTTTGTATTATATGTTCTGTATTGTACTGAATATGCAATAAAAACTTTATTTATTTATTTTATTTATAATTTATGTTTTGTAGGCCTCCGACAGTAGTCGATCAGTACTGTCATAATCACAGAGGCAGTAACTGCAATATTTAGTAATAAAGGACAAATTATTGTTTGTTCTTTATTACTTAATATTGCAGTTACGGCATCTGTGCTTAGCACGGCAAGGTACTTGAAAAAATGATATATGTTTTGTTAGTTTTTGAGCGTTTAAGGTAATGGGTATACGCTTAAAAACTAACAAAACATTCTAAAATACCTATTTTTATTTATAAAGAATAAGAAATTTTGATTGATAAGCAATGAAGTAAACAATTCATTTTTCTTTTTATAAAGAACTTTGAGGGCCCCTACATTTTTTAGCCCCTGGCTCTCTTTTGCCTTAATCCGGCCCTGTAAGTTTAAGCTATTATAATACAGACACATAATATAAACAATGTAATCTCTATGTGACCCCATCTGTTTTTAAACAAAATGTAATTTTTAGGAATAATTATTAATAGAGGAATGCGTTTTTATCAGGTTGCCTACCAAAATATGGCCACAACTATCTTTAATTAAAATCTAATAATTTAATTTTTTCCAAACAATTGCACTCACTTAGTTTAGAGATAAATTATAATTAATTTCATACAGAGATTTGTAAAGAACTCTAAAATTATGGGTTGCCGTTTCTAACTTGGCACCACACTTTATTTTAAAACGTCAGTTTGTAATGTAACAATTGCATGCAATTAACAAGTATGCAAGCAAGTAAGTTTGTAGAAGTAAAATTAAAATTTAAAAAAAAATAAGAAGTGTGTTCTTTTGTGTAATGAGAAGGACTAGACTTTAATAATACATTATTACAAATATTTTTAAGGTTGTTGTTTCGCCGTAAAATAGTATATTATGTAAGAGCAAGTTTAATAAACGTCATTTAAATCACGAATTTTAATTAGGCACGAGCGGGCTTTTAAAATGAGTGTCTAAAAACGTTTATAAAAGAGTTGCATACTATACTTTTTTTAATACAAATATTAGTAGTTATAAAAAACAATTTATTACTAAATAATTTAAATATTTGTATAGAGCAACATCTATACAAATATAGAGTACCCAACATGTAAACCCGTTTTTCCGGCTTTCAAAATGGCAGTTACTTGTCAAATTTTTCTGTAAATATCGAAGTTTATCTCTTGAAATGGACTAACAACCAATAAAATCCGTCATAGAAGCAGTTTTTTTACAGGAAATTTTTAATACTTTATCGTCAAATACAAGTGTATCGCGAATTCAAAAGGTCATGATATATGTATATTAGGGTGTCCCTTATTTTTATTTTTTTTACGCATACCCTCTAATTATATTTATTACTTGTTTATATACTCCCAGTAAAAATTTCAGCTTATTCTATAAACGGGAACCCGTGCCGACTTGCATCTAAACCCTCCGTTAACCAATGTTAGGCGCGCGCGGTATTTTGTAACACGAAACACTTTAAAAAGAAGATATACTTCCTGACTGTATTTTTCTAATGATTTTATTAAATATGATTACTAATTAATATTATTGCTTTTGTTTCTATAATTTGTTTCACTAATTTAGTTGATTTTATCCCTTAAATATATTAATATACTAATTAGTATTGCTAAAATATACTGTTATATGAAATTTCAGCTTTTTATAAGCATTTCTTTTCTTGATGTCCTCCCAAAAATATTTCAGACAGTTCAATAAGTTTTCGGTAGTCATCTCTCACAATAGACTCTTTCAGTTATTTAGAGTAAAACCCATTATAAGTTTATCAATTTCATAGTTTACGGCCTATTCACCAGACCCTTCCGGGTAACTAGCCACTCCCTGTAAAAATATACATTTTTATCAAAGTATACACATAAATAAAACTATATTTTAACATTTGTCAATAATTTATAATATAAGGGTAACATAATAACAAATGCAAAATGACTTACGATCGAAGACCTCGCGACCAACCGTGTTACAAAATACCGCGCGCCTAACGTTGGCTAACGGAGGGTTCAGATGCAAGTCGGCACGGGTTCCCGTTTATAGAATGAGCTGAAATTTTTACTGGGAGTATATAAACACGTAATAAATATAATTAGAGGGTATGCGTAAAAAAAATAAAAATAAGGGACACCCTAATGTATATACAATAATTTATTTAAATTTATTTCAATATTTATTTTTTTTATTAATTACTTACTGATGTTTTTTTTTAATTTTTAATAAACTTGTTTTTAAATGCAATTATATAAAAAATAAAGGCGAATAAATATTCCTAAAAATATTTTATAACTCCATAATATTCCGAAACTAAATATTTTTAAATCAATCCTTAAGTACCTTTTAATAATAATAATAATTTATAAAAATAATAATTTATTGCCCAACAGAATACAGAAAATTCCAATTACAGGACAATTAAATGAGTAACACTTAATAAAAATACCTAATAAAAAAAAATATAATAAAATATGAGAGAACAAAAAAAAAATAAAAATAAAAAACTACTTAATAACTACTAACAAAAAAATAAAGAAGCTATGGCGATAATCTTGCTAATGCTATCACAAAATAAATCACAATTATTGCAAATTAAATTAAAATTGTTACACATTATATAAATGGGAGACTTAATTAGTACGTTGGTTCTAGCATTATGACAATAAAACACGTTGTTAGATCGAGATTCTAGTCTGGGTACTAAAAAGTTTAATAGAGCCAGGATATTGGGAGAGTCAATTTTGCCATGTAACAACTTGTACAAAAGCTTAATGCTAAAAATGATCCGTCTAACATGTAGAGAATTAAAGTGGAAACGTGCCAGTAATAATTTTTGATCAATACCACGAGGCGGGTAGACTCTATCAGTACGATATGCAAGAAGCTTTAAATAACGCCTCTGAATGTCTTCAAGGGTTTTGATTTGAATCTGATAGTAAGGGAACCAAATAATCGAGCAGTATTCAAGCCTAGATCTTATCAATTGATAATATAATGCATTTAGAGCTGTCATATTTGTAAAAGATGTGGTGTTTCTGTTAATAAAGCCCAAAAGTTTAATGCAAGACTGAGAAATATGTTTAATATGCTCGTTAAAAGAGAATTTACAATCAAAAAATACACCTAGGTCCTTGATCACATCAACGCGTGAAAGAGGAGTGTTATTAATATGGTAATCAAAGACTATCGGCGCGGTATTACGAGTAAATGAACATATTTTGCATTTTTTTATGTTTAATGCAAGTTGATTGGTGCTACACCATAAAGAAACTATGTTTAATTGGTCTTGAAGGTGAATATTATCATGTACGCTTGAAATTTCATTGAACAGCTTTAGATCATCAGCGAAAAGTAAATGATTGCATGAAAGTGATATGGATAGATCGTTTATAAAAAGATTAAACAAAAGGGGCCCCAAATTGGATCCCTGAGGAACTCCTGACGTAGCCAAAAAATAGTTAGATTGAAAACCATTGTATGAGACATATAATTTTCTTTCAAAAAGGTAAGATCGTAGTAATTGAGTTAAAGGGTGACTAAATCCAAAGTTACTTAACTTTTGCAAAAGAAGGCAATGGCTCACTTTATCGAAAGCTTTAGAAAAATCCGTATAGACAACATCGACTTGCTTTTTTTTGTCCAAGTGAGTGGAAGTAAATTGTGAAAACTCAGTGAGATTAGTTACTGTGGAGCGATTGTTCATAAAGCCATGTTGTTGTGACGAAATTAGATGTTTGACGTTATTATAAATGATAGTATACAGAGAAGTCTCAAAAACTTTTGCGAAATTTGACAGCAGTGCAATGGGTCTATAATTCATTAAATCACAAGGATCGCCGGACTTCAAGATAGGACATATTTTGGTTAATTTCCAAAGATCAGGAAATGTGGACGTGGACAATATAAGATTAAAAATAATTAAAAGGGGATAAGCCAGTACGTCAGCACAGTCCTTTATAATGAAGTTAGGAACTTGATCATCACCACAGGAGTAACTATTTTTTAGTTTAGAAATAGATTTTAATAGATCAGCTACAGCAAAGTGCCTTATATGCAGGGAATTAGATATATCGTTAGGAGGCAAATCGGTTAAAACTGAATTAGTGGGTATAAACACTTTTAAAGTATTCTGCAAATCCGTCAATAGTTGCCTGAGGAGTTTCATATTTGACATCACCACAGTAGACATTAGCTGGAATGCGCGTCTGTCCTCGCTTTTTGTTAACGAAGCTCCAGAATTTTTTAGGATCAGCTTTTATTTTATTTTCCATATTGTTGATATAATTTTTTAAAGCAACAGAAATCTGTGATTTTAGGATTTTACGTATATTTTTAAATTGGTTTAGGAAATGCTCACTTTGATGTTTTTTTAAATTTTTGTGATAGATATTTTTTAATTTTATATTGTTAACTATTTCAGAGTTGAACCAAGGTGGATATTTTAATTTTGTGAATTTTCGTTGTGGAATATAATTATCAAATAAAGAATATATTTTTGAATAGAAAGCTTCACAAGCCAAGTTTGCGTCTTTAAAGACATTAAGAAAATTCCAGTTTTGATTTAACAGGGCTACATAAAGCCCTGGTAAATTGGCCTTTTTGAAATTGTAAAATCTATTATTAGTACAAGAAGAGAAGTTGGAATAAGAATCATGTATAATATTAATTTCGATGCAAAGCGACGGGTGATACTTATCTTCTGGTACCATATGCACTGAATCCGAGGAAACAGTACACCTAACATCAGAGATACATAAATCTAGCAAGCCTCCACAAGAATTCAGGACATTGTTGTACTGATGTAAGCTATTGTAAAGCAAAAAATTTTGTAAAGTATTTGTTTTGGAGTCATTTGAATTTTGCGCTGTAAGACAAGAAACATTAAAATCACCAGTTATAACAATATTTTTTAGATTAATTAAACACGATTCCAACATATCAAAAAACTCTTCGAATTCTCTGATATTTACTTGTGGTGGAATATAAACAACGAATACATGTAGAGTGTAGGCAGTAAAAGTAACTTTGCAACATAAAATATCAATTAAATTAGGCATACTATCAAATTGATTAAAACTAATAGGTACAACGTTAAGTTTGGAATTGAAAGCAGCGAGCACACCCCCTCCACGAGTGGTACTAGTACCGATAAAATCGCGATCAGATCTGAATACTAAATAGTCAGAGTCGGGGAAGTACTCGCAACTGTCAATATCATTATTAAGCCACGTTTCGACTAAAGTAATACAATCATAATGAACATCACACACAAACGAGTTAACATCTAACACTTTTGAACGCAGTCCACGAACGTTTTGAAAATAAATGTTTAAACTTCTGCTGGGCACTGCTAGTTTTCCTTATGCACTATAGTTGGTAAACCATTTCTGTATTCAATTTTCAGATTGGCTTGTCCTCCTTGTACTCTGGTATCTAGCTCCTTCTTAACTTCTTTAAAATAATCGTTTTGACGTTTAGTGCGATCAAGTGATATTTTAATATGTTTAAGTTCATCATAATTATTTAGGGTTTTGGCTTTTTTTATTATATCGTGTACAAGTTTTACATCGCCCAGTTCAATCTTGATGGGACGAGGATTTGAAGCATTAACTTTACCTAAACGATATAACTTACAGTCGCCAATATTAATATTAATAGAAAGATTAGTCAAAATATTCTCAGTAGTAGCTTTATCATCCTTAATTTTATTAGCAGTGGTAACTGATTGGCTTTCAGCCACATTAAATATCACAATATTTGATTTTCTTTTCTCCCTTTCATGAATTTCATAAATTACATCTTCAAAAGAAAATTTATCCATAGTGTTCTTAGATTTTAGTTCAAGTAGATCATCCTTAAGACTAATTATTACTGCTTTTAAACTATTTATATCATTACCAATGGCATTGCAGCTTTCGCAGGTCCAAGAAAGTCCTTGTTTTGAGCGAATTTTGCGAGCTTCAGATTGCGTTAGATCTACACAGCCATGTTTGTAACTTTTAGAACATATACAACAGCTAACAGTCTTATGTACTTCATCGGAATTTTTGCAACCACAACTGCACAGAATTAGAGACATTTTTGCAATCTGGCAACAGTGGACGATAACGTGATATCGACGCATGCGCAATCGTTTTAAAGCAACGTAAAGCAGGAATTGCGTCCGATTTTTATTTTTAACAATTGGCAACCCCTATTTGCGGACACTATATTTTAGGCAACATTATACCATCGTGTAGAGAAAAAAATAGCTTTGATTTAATATATAATTCATTAAAATACGTTATAACTATTTACACCTGGTTGACAAGAGGTTGCGGCCAATTGAGAAACAGCAACTCATAATTTTTAAGTTCTTTACATATCTCTCCATGATATAAATTATTATTTATCTCTAAACTAAGTAAGTGCAATTGTTTAAAAAAAAATAATTAAAGATATTTGCGGCCATATTTTGATAGGTAACCCGGTAGAAACGTATTCTTCTATTAATAATTATCTCTAAAAATTACATTTTGTTTAAAAAGCAGATGGGGTTTGTAATCATGCAGTCGGATCTATTATTATTAGATACTTAAATAATATTATTATTATTGAATACATATCCAGAAATTGTGCGTATTCCTGAGTCCCCATCTACATCTGTGTGCTGTTCTAAAACAAAAACAGTTTCAGTATAATTAATATTTATTAAAAAACAAGTTTATTATAAAAAATATTATATTTTTTTATATTTTACCGTATTTTCATTTTATATATACGTTATATATACAGTGTGTATCAGCCAAATGGAATAAATGCGATAATACATAAATGGGGGCATGTTCCTAAAAATGCTCGGACACGTCGATTAGTATTTTTAGTTGCGCACTTTTTCCAACAAAATCTTTTTGTACAGGGTGTCTCATATATCAGTGGCCAATACCAACTTTCAAATTTCAAATGGAACACCCTGTATTTTATTCAATTTTTGGATTCTTCAGAAAATTATAGAAATATTTCATGTACAATGTCCTATACCTATCTTCAAGTGTTTCGGAAATATTAAAAAATTAACGTTAAAGAACGATTATTATAATTATTTGATTACACACTCAATATTTATTTCCCATTTAGGTTTTAATAAGCAAAAACCATTTCAATGGACCTGATATGAAATAAAAAAGCTATAAACAGTTTTGTGTTTGAATTTCGTTAACTGCATATCAGAAAAATGGTTCATTTAATTGAAATGCACAAAATAACAATTCTACAGATGATTGGTTATGGAGATACAAAGTTTTTTTTCAATGGATCACCCTATATACTAATTTATTTTTCGATTCCTTGTAAAATTCTAACAATAATTCATATAACATACCTTATACCTATATGACTTAACAACCGAGCATATAAGCTGAGGGAGTAATTTGTTTTGATTGTGTTCCACTATACCAAGTTGCCCGACACTGATGAGACCCAATAAAGGTCGAAACAGCTGTCTGTCGGTATTTGAAGTTGGTGGAACGCATTCGAAACAAAAAACTTTGGCGAGGTGTAGGTTCAATTTTTTCTTATATTCTTATGAATATTACCAGTGATGGGTCAAGAAAGTTTCTTAAAGAAACTAAGAAAATTGAATGTTTACCTTAATGTTTAGCCCGTTTGGGTTAATTCTAGATTCCTTTAGGCCATATTAGTATCTGTGATACAATTGCTGTGTGCAGTCCCGGTTGCATAGTATGTACCGATTGCAGCAAAGGCCACGTCGTTTGACGGTGTGGATCACCTGATGTTCTTACATCTCGCCTCTGTTGACTTAACAACCGAGCATATAAGCTGAGGGAGTAATTTGTTTTGATTGTGTTCCACTATACCAAGTTGCCCGACACTGATGAGACCCAATAAAGGTCGAAACAGCTGTCTGTCGGTATTTGAAGTTGGTGGAACGCATTCGAAACAAAAAACTTTGGCGAGGTGTAGGTTCAATTTTTTCTTATATTCTTATGAATATTACCAGTGATGGGTCAAGAAAGTTTCTTAAAGAAACTAAGAAAATTGAATGTTTACCTTAATGTTTAGCCCGTTTGGGTTAATTCTAGATTCCTTTAGGCCATATTAGTATCTGTGATACAATTGCTGTGTGCAGTCCCGGTTGCATAGTATGTACCGATTGCAGCAAAGGCCACGTCGTTTGACGGTGTGGATCACCTGATGTTCTTACATCTCGCCTCTGTTGACTTAACAACCGAGCATATAAGCTGAGGGAGTAATTTGTTTTGATTGTGTTCCACTATACCAAGTTGCCCGACACTGATGAGACCCAATAAAGGTCGAAACAGCTGTCTGTCGGTATTTGAAGTTGGTGGAACGCATTCGAAACAAAAAACTTTGGCGAGGTGTAGGTTCAATTTTTTCTTATATTCTTATGAATATTACCAGTGATGGGTCAAGAAAGTTTCTTAAAGAAACTAAGAAAATTGAATGTTTACCTTATACCTATACCTATAAGTTTAACCGTTTCTGAAATATTCGCATTTGAAAAGTTATTATCAAATATTTTTTTAAACAGTTGCAAATCAAGAAGCCTCAGGATAACAAAATGTTTATTGAAAATAAATAACTATAGTGACATTATGTCAATATTATTGTTAAGAATGTAAAAATGCCGTACTCAGACAGAGAAAAACAGACATTTTAACTTATTATCTTAAAAATAATTTTAATTTTAAAAAACGGTTGAATTTGGGTATATGGTATGTTACATGAATTATGCTTGGAATTTTACAAGGAATCGAAAAATAAATTCATTTATAGGGTGATCCATTGAGAAAAAATAAACTTTTTGTTTTTCCCTGTATACTGATCAATTTTCCAATTTTTTTATACGTAAAAATAAGGAGCTTTGTGTACTAGGGCTGTCAAAAGTATTCGGTTAAACGGTTTTTATTTTTCATAAAAAACGCGGTTACACTGTTAAAAAAAACGGGTTAAATATATTTTTGACCGATTAAATGCCGTTTTTAACCGGTTTTTGACCGTTTAAAAAACCGATTTTTGACCAGTTCAAAGTCAATTTTTGACCGGTTAAAAACGATTTTTTCCACCAGTGAAAATCAATTTTCTTAACCGATCCAAGACCGATAAAAAAAATGGATTTATCTGAGCTGCACTCTTTTTTAACCTATTTATTTATTTCTGCTACAGTGTTTTATGACCTATTTTTATAAACGGTTTTTAAAAAAAATTTAAACTTAATAAATTATCACTAATAATGAATTAATGCGAAACCTAAACGAGTTGTTAATAATTATAAGTATTAAAAATTTAAGGACCATTTTAATAGAAATATAAAATCATGATGAATAAGTTCTAATTAAACTAAAATCTGGTAAAGAAAAAAAACAAATTAAAAAACTACCAAAATATTTCAAGTTAAATTTATTTCAATATAACGTTTGTATTACCGCGGCACGGAGGGTGGTTACTGTATTTAGAATACAATTTTAGTCCATCAAGTTGATTAATATTAACAGTGTCAGGGATGTCAGAAGTATTCGGTTAACTGGTTAACCGCTTTTAATTTTCCACCGCGGTTACACTTTTAATAAAAACCGGTTAAAAACAGATTTTGTTCAAATATCAAAACCGGCTTTTTTAAACCGGTTAAAAATCCTGTGACCGCCTAAAAAATTTATCACTGACAGCCCTACCGTGTACTGTGTTTTTTTAATTTTTAACTCAAATATCGCTTCTAAATTCAATAAGGACATAAAAAATATTGCTTCTAAATTCAATAAAAATATAAAAATCTGATGATTTTCCTAAAAAAAAATAGTGGCGTCGAAAATATGGGGGTAAAAAGGGAAAGCCTCCAAAAATCTCCGCGGGTGGGCCTATTGTAGAAATTTACATTAGATTATACAGGGTGTTATGTATTAATGTTATATATTAAAATACTGAATACCTTTTGACATAAGGAGTAAAGGAAAAATATTTAAAAAAATATTTTTCCAAAGATAAAGAAAAAATATGCATTAGAAGTTTTTTATATTTTTTGTGATACGCCACTGGTTACACACTTGGTTTACCTCTGCACACTTGTGTTCTGTGAGTACATAGATACCAACCAACAAAGTAGCTGCGTGTTGCCAGATGTAAAAAATTGTTACTAAAAATTTTTCTTGCAAAAAATGAATAAAATCTCAATAAATACAAAAGTTTTATGCCCTTAAAGCTCTAATACCCTTTTGTATTTATTTACTTAATAATAGCTTAAGCAATGCTTAGAAAATTTAGTACCTATTTTAAAAAATCCATAACCACAAAATTAATTTTTTCATCGGTTTTTTTCTTTCTGTTTACTCAGATGAAATTTGGACCAGTTCACAGGTTAAACTTTGTGTAAATAAATCCAAAAGCACTTCCCTTAGTTATATATTTACAATTTGAGCAGATAACCTAAAATTTGAAAGAAATGCACTAGATTCTGTCATAAAAGTTGGAAAATTTTGTTTGAATTTACCTTCAGTACAAAAATGACATAACCAACAATTAATAAAAACGCCAAATTGACAATTTCCATTGTAAATTTTGTCATTTTTGTAATTAAGCTAAATTTAAACGATGTTTGTCAACTTTTTTGACAGAATCTGGTTGTTACCAACCATAACATAATAAATTAAATTAGGCAACCAGACTAGTCTTAAGTTCCTGGCGTACTTTTTGGTAGGATAAAGGTTATTATAAATTATTTTTTGTCTTTGGAATTTAGAAAAAAAAAGTTTCAGGTGCTTCTTTATGGACCCTAAGGAACAACCCATTTTAATATATAACATTAATTACATAACACCCTGTTATTATCGACGAACACCTACTATTCAAGATTTACCTACACAAAATTTGAGCAGAATCGGTCTGATGTTTAACAGTGGCGGCTGGTGGATTTTGTATATACCAATATCTCAGTTATTAGACATGGGACCTATACCAAATTTATAATTGTTTATAATGACATTAAATAGACAAGTTGGGCGAAAACAGAATTTAAATTGAAGTTTGTTAGTTTTTCGTGATGCCTCATCCACCTCCTGGCCCCCCTATTTGAGATAATTCAAATTAAAGTGGTGCGTGCAATTTATAATCTAATATAATTTATCGAAAAATTTAAAATTTTATTTAAAAAATCCAAATATTACAGATTTTATACCATTTTAAATATTTTTAAATTTTAATAAAATAAATAAATGAATTTAGGAATTAAAATTACAAATTTTATAAATTATAAAACATATTAATTTAAAAATTTTGGCCAAGACCTTCACCAATATGGCTAACGATTTAAAGACACCAAAAATGGCTTCTTCCTTATATGATGCTTATAAAACAAAATTATCCCAACAAAGGTGATTATGCTCTTTAGTTAGTATTATAAAATAACTGAAGATTTTTTAGACAGAGGTGTATTCGTTAAAAAATATAAATAAAATAATATTTTAAGTGCAAACAAAATGGATAGAGATATGTAATAAATAAATAATATTATTTACATAAAACCTCTTTGATAGCATGAGAATGCTATTTACCCACTAACCAAAATTAAATTTTCTACAAAAAAGGTCTAATTGAAATTTTGTCAGATGAACCGTTTCCTTATAAGTAGGTACCTACTCATGCCTTTAACATTGGTATGATTTTACAATTACAAAATTCCACAGTCGAAAATTTTTAGCTTGGAACATTATATTTACTTTATAAAAAAACAATAAACCAATTAGGTAGGTATATTGAAAATAATTGAATTTTAATAACAAATTATTTATTAATTATTTCATTGAGAAACAATTTGAACAAAACCAATTTTTTGTAAAAACATTTACTAAACAAGTGCATTTTAAATGGTACCAGAAAAGGCAGCTATCACATCTGATGCATTGTTCTTTTGTTTCAATTAAACTATCGCAAATATTGCACAGCCATATGGGCTCATTGGAGTTTAAGATATTATGGATTTTCTTTAAAGTTTTCTCATCAAAATAGGACGCAATTAGGGCTATATCTACAATTTCATCATATAAGGGGTGTGGCAAAGTAGTAACAATGTCATTTTCGTCAAATAAATATTTGTGTTTATCATTGTGGACAAACACTAATTTATTATATTTGGCATTTTCATTTAATATCAAATTTAATAGTATTTCCTCCTTTTCTTTGGTATTTCTTTTTATATATTCAATTGGTTTTAAATTTGACCTTTTCTTTTTTGATAAACCAATAACAGTTAAATCAGCCCCCCTTGGACGACCCCTCTTCTTGATTATCTTGGGCATTATGACTTTTTTCAATATACTTTGACTATCACATGGTTTACTTATATTATTATCACTTAAATTATCACAATTGTTTATGTTAAGGTTGGAAGCAGTGTCCATTTTATCAATTTCTTGAGGATTACAACTCACAAAACTCATATTAAAGGTATTGTTATCAAGCGTTTGGTTTAAGCTCTCTGGGAGAAAAGTTGCTTGCTCAGTATCCCCCTCAATATTTTCTTTCTCAGTGTCATTAATTTTAGAAAAAACCAGTTTATCGCTCATATTTGTAATATTGTCCTCTTTAGTTGCATTTTTAGACAGAGGTGTATTCGTTAAAAAATATAAATAACATAATATTTTAAGTGCAAACAAAATGGATAGAGATATGTAATAAATAAATAATATTATTTACATAAAACCTCTTTGATAGCATGAGAATGCTATTTACCCACTAACCAAAATGTGTTCGTAAATTCGAAGCAATTTTTATAAACCAGTTATGTTTTAAAAAATATATTTACCTCAGTTTGATAATGAATAATAAGGTTTATTATAATTATTTATCTTTGTTAGTTTTTTAAATAAAATTAAATTTTTAAAATAAACTGCCGAATTTTGAAATATTTTGATATATTTCCTGATTTTTGATTTGTTTGTTTTTGTTTGATAACTCGAACTTCGATAACTCGAGTTTTTGATAACTCAAATTGGTTGGCAATAACGCCAAGAGTGAAAATTTTGTGTAATTTAATAACTAGAAGTCTTGATAACTCAAAATTTTTTTGTGGCAAGTAATGGTTCAAGTTATCGAAGTTCGGCTGTATAATATTTCCCGAGTTTTTTTTATTTAAAATATAAGCTTAGTTATTTTTAATTCATTGACAAAATATAATCAAAATTTAAAGGTGGTGCAAAAATATGTACAATAAACTGTATACAAATTAATCAAGTTAACTTGTACATATGTATATGTACGAGTTCTGCATATTAATTAATGCAAACAACAATTTTTAAACAAGTATCCAGTTTTTTATATATAGCACAAACTTTAAAAGTTTATAACCCCACTTCTCTCTTTTGCACTTGTACCATTTTACTTCTTACCCCTTCATATATAAAGATGTTAAACCAAAATGTTGTGTTTCTTTGATTATGAATAAGGTAATTCCACAATAATTATGAAAAAATTAAAGTAAAAATTAAACTACCCATTCTGCCCTTAGCTTATTTTCATGCTAAAATGCACTTCACAGAACACTTTTACCCTTTTGCTTCTTACCCCTTCATATGTATGTGATATATCGGGAATCCACATACACACAACATATATAATTTAAAATTTACACATAAAACCGGCTGTTGACGTTTTAAATACGCCATAAGAAATATGCATAGAAAAAGGATTTGAATCAGTGTTGCCAGATGGGTAAAAAATAAATCCCTATCCAGTGATGTAAAAATTTCCTATAATTTCCTATTGCTATTATAATTTCCCTATGCTAGTCCCTATATTTTTTTGACGTTTTTTGTCAAAAATATACAAGGTCTCTATCATGGTCTCTACCCTATGCTAGTTAAGAGTTTCAAAGAGCGATTTATAAACTAGTGGCGATTTATAAACTAGGTGGCGTCGGCGTTGGCGCTGGCTCTGGCCTCGAAGAACACCACTTATAAAGTCGTTGGCGTCGAGGATTTAAAATTTAACCTTTCTAACTAATTTAACTTTTTGTCAGATTTTTAAAAGTAGGCTGGTGAAAACATAGTTTTTTAATCCTAATAACACATTAATTAATTCTTTAATCAAGGAAAACAACCAGTGTTGCCAACTCGAAAATAACAAATAAGGTTACAACAATATAAAAATTCCGCTACAGACGAATCTATCCTTATCCCGCTACACCCGCTCTATTTGGGCTTAACGTTTGGAATCCAAATTTTGGATACAAATTTTTTTTAATGCAAATAAAGACAAGAAATGTTAAGCAAAATACTTTATTCAAGTAATAGGTAAATATAAAAAACAGGTAACATTAAAATCCTTATAGGGATTATAACATATAACCAGAAAATTAAAATATAAACAAGCAATATTAAAAACAAAACAAAAACATTTTAACGATAGAACTCCCGCCCGCCCGTATGCCTCGGTAGCATTTATAGATAATCTATAAATGCTACTGCTGCTTGCAAATGGCATATTTAGGAAAGGAAAGGAAATCTATAAATGAAGCTTAGCAAAAAAGATTTTAAATTATTTTAATCCGAATCAGACGTGTCGGCGTTAGATTCAAAAACTGTAACGTTTTCTATGGCAACGAGACTCTCGGTTGCCTTATTTTTGTTTTTAAATTTGTTTAACATGTTATTCTATAGATGTCGCTAGCTTTTTAAATTAACTTATGATAAACAATTTATTTAAGATGGTTTACTTATACTTAAAAAAACTAAATTCCGTTACGTTTTGCTATCATTTTGTTCCACCGCCGCTACGCCGCTCTTGAGGGTAAATCCCGCTATGCATAGCGGAGTTACGCTATGGTTGGCAACACTGAAAACAACTAAAACTATTAAATTTACTCGCGCCATCTATTGGTAAATCGCTCAATGTAACCGAACGGCACTCCAACTATTATTAGCATTGAGTAATAATAATAATAATATTAGTAATAATTTATTACACGCTCGCAACAATAGTTATATAAGAAATCAACCAAAACTGTACAATAGTTATTTAGTTTAAAACATGCTTTAAAACATGCATATACCTAAGTCGTTTTTTCACGTAAATACCATGAAATACTATGGTCATTAAACTTAAGCCTGGTTCATATAGATGCGACATGCGAATTTGCGAAATGCGAAAATGTTTTCATTGGTCCATTTGATTTGGCGGGAAAAGTGTTTCGACGTTTCGACAGATTCTGCGAATTCGCAAGATTTGAAATCTGGGGGGCGGGAATCTTGAGATTGATCCAATATTTTGCGAAAATCGCACGAATTTGGCGTGATGCGCATGCGCATTAATGCAGATGCCTATTATACGTATATACCCGCGCCATTTTTGTTTATGTTCTGTGTTTATTTCATTTGTATTGCATCGTTGTTGAGTTTTATTTGAAATGTTTCTTGCTAAAGTTGTTTTTTGTTCTTTATAATGGACAAAGAGTTTTTGGAGGTACATTAGTTTCTTATTTTACCTTATAGTAGCATATTTTTTTAGAAGTAACTTTACTATTTAAGTACCTACCTATAGAAAATGTTAACCAAGTATGGCAAATATCACCTGGAGAGAAAATAATGTCCCTAAAATACCATGGCAAATATCGCCTAGTGAGAAAACAATGTCCCTAAAATGGTTCCGACAATTCGCATCTATATGAATAGGAGCTGCGAAATGCGAATATTCGTATTTCGCAAATTCGTAAATTCGCATCTATATGAACTCGGCTTAAAGCCTTGGTTAATAGTTAAGGCATTTTTGCGTTTAGAGTGCGTTCAAAAATCCTAACTATGACGTCACAAATACCAGACCATAAAACTATATCGCTGAGCTAGTTATTCAACGTGGTTAATAGTCTTTCTCTTTTTAATATATATATTTAATATGTTTATGTAGGAATAATGTTGTGTGCTAAACATATCTTCTCCAAAACATACCGCCAACCTTCGTCTTTTTCTTTGGGGTTCCATTCTAAATTTTGAGTTTCACAATAATAATTTTCGTATAAACGTTAAACACTGTTGGATTTTAATTATGGTACACAACAGTGAAGAACTGTTTATATATAAAAAGAGGTATAGAAAAGGTAGGTATAAGAACTAGGGTTCATAGAAAAAGAATATACAAGGTAAAAGAAGAGGCAAAGAAATTTATTTACACCTGTAAAAGCATAGAAATTAAATATAAATAGGTAAAAACACATTTTAAAAATTATAGGTTATGAACAAGTAAACAAATGTCAAATGTTAGAAACCTAACCATGGTTATATGAATTAACTGTGACGTCATGACTTATTTAACCGTAGTATTTCATAGTATTTACGCGAAAAAACGACTCTATAACCTCGCCTATAACTCGTATGTATATGATAACATGACTTTTTATTAAAACGTTATACCTACCCTGTAAAGTATTTGTCTAGGTATAAAGAAAATTCCCTATAAATAAATAATAGTTCCCTTTTTCCCTATTCTCCAAAAAAATCCCCATGAATAGGGAAAAATTCTCTAATCTGGCAACACTAAAATGAAGAACACTGTTGCCAAGTATGTAACACAACTAAAATTTTAAAATAAGAATGGTCATAAAAAGGAAATTTCGATATTAGAATATAGGTAGTGTGTCCCCAAGGGGGAAATAATCTTTATTATTTATTTTACGACCAAAAGTCATTCTTTATAAAAAGTTCGAAGCAGATCTGCTTGTTGAGAAAATGAATTTACGATAAAAAAAATTAAGATCAGATGTACAGGGTGTTCATAAATTAGGAAAATATGAAAATGCTTCAAGAGAGAATTCTTAAGTACCTACCATTATTTATTATTTTTAACAAAAAATTTATAAAGCAAAGTTGTTTATAAACTAGCATAAAGTCTAAGTACAAATTTCGAAAAAAAATTTCGAATATTTTAAAATTAAACAAAGTTGTTAATTTGTAACTAAAATAAAATTAATCAAAGTTGTTCATAAACTGGCAAAATATGAAAATGCTTCAAGAGAGAAGTACCATTATTTATTGTTATTAACAAAAATTTTATAAAACAAAATTGTTTTAGTCAGGAATCCTCTCTAAAGGGAGGTAGCGAGAGTTTTCGTGTAATCATTTAAATAAATCTAGATATTTTTCCCATGATAGATTAGACATTATAAATGATAGAAGTGCAGGTCTACCAAAATTCTAGCGGTGCAAACATGAGAAAAAAGTTAAACATTTTGTATAAATTTACCTGCATTAAAAATGACACAATAATACAACGCAAATTGTAAATTTTACGTTACTTAAGCTGAGTTCTAACAGAGAAATAACGTAATACCTATAATTTAATTTAACTTTAAAAGTAATTTAATTTAATTTACTTGCGTTCATACAAAAAGTAACGTAATTTAATAGTGTTTGAAATTAAAAACAATATTTTAAAGAGATTGCTTACTTCATGTATCTAAAATTTAAAGTTTTAGATTTATATCGCTTACTTTGGTAATTACAATCGAAATATTTTTCTTATTATTAACGCTGTGTCTAGTCTCACGCTAGCGTGAACGCAATTTTATTCTTATTCT